GCATTCACCCATGTTGCATCAATGCATGAAAGCTCAAGCCCTCTTCCACTTTCCTTGAAGCTCAAGTTACGCTTTTGGGGGAGAACTCACTGCTCTGTCTGGAGCCCAGATAACCCCTCAGGGAGACCATGTAATATTGATGGGGAATACAAGTGCATAGGCCAAAGTGCATGTTTCATCAGCATTAACAGACTGTTAGTTATTTTGAGGATCAACAACTTACATCTAAAGGAAACCCATGGGAATACTGAATCAGATCACTGCCCAGTAAAAGGCATCTTAAAGTGGAATGTAGCCAATATCTCAGGGGAAGATGAGGGTCACCCCATCTTCAACAAAGCATAATACATAGTCCTAGCCCACCCAAATAAACTCAGTGCACCTCTCCAAAGTCATACCTTAGGACCAAGTCATTGCATCTCAATACCTGACGTATGAGATGGGCACGTGTGGTAAAGGAAGAAATGTATTGCATGATTTGTAAGATTTCCTATACAACATGGATTTCATTTACCAATGAACTGGGAAAAATATAAAAGGAAAGAACAACTCTTATTTTCTTACTCACAATTTTGAATTGTCCAATAACCCACCTCCTCCCACCCCAGATTGAAAAATGGGTTGAAATAATTTTAAAGTGTGCTATTAACCAATAAATGTATGCTAGTATGCATGATACTGATACATGGGGGTCATCCAATGTAGTACAGTTCCCATGTTTTTTAGATCCTTACTATACTGGGTTTAAACTCACCAATAGATCTTTTGTTTTATGGAAGAGCCAAGAGGAGTTAATTTTTTTCCAGTGTGGAGCTCAATATGTTGTGCTAAAACTAAAATAAAAATGCCTTTTTTACAAGTTGAAATTCTCCAAATTAGTTTGCCAGAACTCTTTGGGACTGCTGCAAGCTAAATATCTTCATATACATATGCAGTAGAAAAATGTAACAACATATAATTAAAATGACTTAATAAACCCACACAAGTAGTGCCACTGAAAAGCACTTTGACATTTTGATGGGAGACATTTGCCTTTTACCCTACAAAGCAAAGTAGTTCTTTAGAAACTATATACGTGACCAACAAAAGGAGCTATTATTTGAATCTGGAAGACACCTTGTAGTCAAGTGTAATTTTTTTCCTTTTGGTTCAAGGTTTTATAATGTTAAAATGTTGAATCAAATATTTAGATCAATTCAAGGTAAGAACCAGTATCTCAAGCTTGTTAAGGTTGAACACAAAAGGGATCCACAGTAAGAGCCTGATCCAAAGCCCATCCACTTCTCCAAGTGGTTGGACCAGACCCAAAATTAAAACAACTACTTTGCAGCAGAATTGAGTGAATCCTGAAAAATTATATTCCAGCATGTTAGGGCTCTTCAATCCAGCCATATGCCTGCCAATGGCAGGTTTGCTCCTTGCATGCATTCATGTAAATGTGTCTTGCTTATACGCCTGTTTGGGAAATAACCCACATCTGTGTGCATGCAAGGTATTTGCTATAACTTATTCATAGATTCATAGATTCTAGGGTCGGAAAGGACCTCAGTGGGCCATCTAGTCTGACCCCTTGCCCCTGGCAGGCAAGAAAAGGGTCACCAAACCTGGGGTCATGTGAACCCAGCCAGGTGCCTGTCCAGGCTCCTCTTGAAGACCCTCAAGGATGGGGCAAGCATCACCTCCTTTGGAAGCCCATTCCAGATCCTGGCAACCCTGACCATGAAGAACTTTTTTCTAATGTCCAGTCTAAACCTTCTCTCCAGTAGCTTATGGCCATTGTTCCTTGTTTGCTTATCCTCCTGTTAAGGAAGGTTCAGTGGTCTAAGATTGGAAAAGGAATAACAAACCAATAAACTGAACCAGTAGTGCTGGAAAAATGTTTGTCCCTGCTGCCCAGCAAAAAGAGGAAAGATGCCTTTACTGCTGATGCTGACATTATCTGCAACTAGTAATAAGAACTGTTCTGCTTTCTGGCTGGCAAAAGAGTGCACAGACCTGCACAGAGCAACTATACAAGGGAATATGAATGGCTAAACCACAAATTCAAAAGTACCTTCCCATTTAGCCTCACCCACAAATCCCTTCAGCAACAATAAAAAATGATCAAATTGATCTGAAAGATTATGTTAGGTTCAGAGACTCCTGGTGTTAAGAAAGGAATTGGCATGTGTATGTACGTAGCTCCTCTGTATGGGGTAGAACATGTTAGAAATATGCCTAGGAAGCTCATGAGTACCTAAGCTAACAGAACTGCCCTATTGTTCACGATCTGTCTGTCCATCTGTCTGGATTCTTTCCTACTGTCCTGCACCATAATACCGGGGTGCTCCAAAACTGAGCAACAGTGGAATTTGTCTTCCTCTTCTGCACAGTAATATTGTTTTCTCCACCCTGTAAGGAACAGATTGTACTTTATGTTCCTGATGCCTCATGCATACTGATTAGCAGACAAAAATGATAGAGAGGGTCCCGCAGCCATCTACCAACTCCTCTGAAAAATTAAGTTTCTGTATGGTGCATCACCTGCCAATTTTCACTAACAGATAAGGGGCAATTACACATGTGTTTGCAATGGTAAAGTCATGTGAGGGAGGCAAAGGCAGATGAGAAAGGTAAAGGAAAAGCAGAGTGAAAGGTACTGTGCTGTGTGGTCTGCTCCTGACTGGACAAGTGTATTTAAGCAATTAGTGAAACACACTGCAAGGCCAGAGGTTCCTGAGGCTTACACTCAAGCCACTGCCTCAGATCACAGTAGGACAATGAGTAATCAGGCAACTGATCTCTGCAAGGTGACTAAAATGACATTCTTTGCAACAGTCCATTCTTCAGTTGTTCTTGTTCCTGAAAGGAGCTAATTAAAAACAGAATGGAAAGCCACTTCCACAGGGAGCTGAGAGCTTGTAAAGTTAAGGGAATTGAGGACTAGAAATCCAAAGATCATAGTTTCTGGGACTCTAGTTTGCAAATGGTCTGGAAGGGAAATTCAAGGCATTTCAGAGGCTGAAAGAGAAGGAAGTTTTATGATAAGAAGGAACAGAATTAGTTAATAAAGACATTTCAGTACCTTCAACATAAGCCAGTCTGAGCTGCTGTCCAAGTTAGAACAGCTAAGAGCACAGCACTGTAGACCAGCGAGCCAAATATAATCAACATTTCCAATTAGTAAGACTAGGGATCCAGAGGGACTGAGGTGGTAATTAAATTAATAAAAACAGAGGAGTGTCTAATTTGTACTCTCAATTTTGGAAGAACTTTTCACAGAGATAAATATGTCTGTTGTGTGCTGTTTGGTGCATCACTTTATTTTAGGTGCCTTCTGTTCTGTGTTCCACTGTGTTATGTTGCACATTTGAGATTTTAGTTAACAGTCAGTTTTCAAGAACAAACGGCTGCTTTTCTTTCATCACTGCACTTAATGAGTTAGCCAATCTGTGCTAGAGAGTGAGGGATTGTGGGGAAAAGCAACAAGAAGGAGAATCCTTTCTATTCTGCAGATAAACTAGGTGATGCAGAAACACTGCACCACTGCTGGAACTGGAATGTGGGAGGACACGTGCTCTTGAGGCTATGCCATAGTTGTCAGGTACAGGAGACATCTGAAGAAACAACTAATGTTTTGAGAAGAGAGAGCCTGTTTTACTGAAGTCCCAAGGGCATAACACAGAATCCTAGAGTCAGAAGGCTGAGAGGGACTGAGACCAACCCTCTGCAAAAGGGCAGTCCCATCTGCGTGATCAACTTTGTCAGCCAAATCCTGTGGAGAACATTGTTTCAGTACATTTAACTTCCACCCTACCCTAAAGAGAGAATCCTGAATGACAGCTCACCAGACTTGGATCCTTTAATATGAAACAGATGTTATTGCAGATAGCACAAAGTGTTGCCCAGCCAGGCTAAGCAGGCCAGGAGCAGTTTACCATGGCCTAAATATTTCAGAGCCCTTACAAGCAGCCAACTTTAACATATCCCTCTGCATGGAAACCTCCTACTCACTTGTAAACTACTACCAACATACTCAAAAAAGCCATACTCTGAGTGCCATTGCCCCAGAGGATTGGAAACTTGAAACTGGTGATATAACTGCCAAACATAAGGCCCCCAAACTTTCTCTTAAGTTGCTTGGTATAAATTATCATTCTACCTCCTGTCTAGGAAAGTGTGTATTTTTTCATTTATTATTAAAACTGCCCTTATTTTTTTTTATCTCTTATATTACATATTATTTATCTGAAGTATTTTATTCATTCTACCTGTACGTCAAGTGATCAACAAACTAACGTTTCCAAATTTTCCTTTTCTTGCTTTGAAAAAACTTTTCACTAACTTTTTTCTTAGCTTCATTTTAAATTGCTCTGATTAAAAAAAATCAATTCAGTTCTGAGAGGACTAGCTTCATTAAAATAAATGTAATCTATAATTTGAATTGCAAAGACAGTACCTGCCTTTTCAATTTTCTCTCATCTAATCACAGAATACTAACTTAGTGGGCCAAAGGAGCTGAAATAATCATTTCCCTAGACCAGAAGCAATACAATCCAGCATTTCAAAAATTAAAAAGCTACACATTAGCAAGAATTAGTCTTTCTTTATAGGCTCAGCACCTTAACCTTTTAAGAAAGATTTTCAGTAGATGGCATGTGTCTTAAATACCTGCACTAATTATAAGGCAGGCAAGAATAGCTCAGAAGGTGTCATTTGTCTATTGTCTTGGAAATAGAGGAGTGTAAAAATTGGGCAGAATACCTAGTTATTCAGTAGCTTTCTAGTCTATCAGGCACAGATTTATGTACTTTAATAATTAGTCACAGAAATTTTGCAAATGTCATTGAGTAACTAGAGCAGCTGCCAAGAAGTTGTAATACTCTCTTGGGGAAATAACCATGCACAGCTACTTAAGGCTTGTCAGTGACACTGCACATAGAAGGAACTTCGAGCCCTTCAGTCTGAAAGTGGTAATAGGAACAGAAATTGTTATATGTTCATGCTGCATTCATTCCTACCTTGCTGTCTGCTCCACCTGGCACGCAGAACACATACTCAAGCTGGAAGAAGATTCCAAAAGCTGGGTGACGAACCATCTCAGTCAAATGAATGCGGCTTCTCAAAACCAGAGCCTGGCCCATGGCACTATATTGGGAATACAGCACAACTGCCAATTAGATGGGGTCTGGCTTGTACATCTAGCAGAAAGCAGCTCCTGCTTATTCCAGATGCACTGACTGCCTGCTGACACTTTCTGCAATGTATAGCAATGGGGAAGAGGCCGGGGTGCATTTTAGAAACTATCATTATGTATTCCTTGAAGAAGCCTTCTGGATCCCCAGCCATGGACTAGGACTCCCTATTGCAGTGTTGTGCAGATACAGAACAAAAATATGCCCCAAAGCACTTACAGTCTAGCTATGACCCTAACAGAGACCTTGGGAAAGCGCTTCTTACATTACCCTCCACAAGTGCAATCAATTCACTAGTGCACTGATGCCAGAATATCTTGAGGACATCACTGGCCTTTCCTAAGGAAGGCTCAAGTTGTTCAGAGCCCCAGGGCTGTTGACCAATAGTGGCAGTGGCTCAAAAGGGCCAGATACTGCGAAGCCCTGGGAATCTCCTCAGAGATGCTCTGTTCCCTCCAATCTGTCTGGATACAATAAGGAGCAGAGCACCAGGGAGGATGGAGCTCAGAGTTGGTTTTTCGGTCTTATCCATTTTCCCCTTGTTTTTTGGCCCTGAAGCCCAGAAGGAAGGAAGGAAGGATCTCTGCAGATCTAGCCCTCTGGACTGCGGCTTGTTCACTGATCAGAGAAATCAAATGCAGTTCCTTTGTACAGCCAATGGCAGGAGCCAGGCATTCATCAACAGCTAAGGGTCCTTCAGCCTTATACCTGAATTTAGCACTGGAGCCTTGCTTCTTGTTGGAGCGCCCCCGAATCACCTCAGCCTCTGGCACCAGCACTGCTACCTGAGGTGTCTGAACGAAGCAGAGGCCATTGTGGACCCCGACGTGCAGCCGGCGCTCCTGAATGGCAACCACATTCCCAATGAGCATGGAGTTATCCTGGAGAACACACAAACATTTCAACAAGGGTCACCCACAGGCTGGTACCCTACTGAACACAGCATGGGACTGAAGGCTGGTGCTCCCTTTGGTTGAAAAAGGAGGAAGGAAAAGAGAAATACCTCCTCCTAACACGAAAATGGCAGTGAAACAGCACTGCAAGAGCTGTCCTTTCACTACAGGTGGAACAGCTGTCAGCCTCCAGGCCCTAAATCCCTCTTCACCAGGACCACTGCATTGGCATAGTGGCCATGCATAAGGGTGGTCTGTATGCTGCAGGTGAGCCACGTTTGCTCCCTGCCTGGTTTCATGCCAACAAAGTGGCACTGGAAGGATTGTGAAGAGAAATTGAACATTCAAGCCATAAGTCATAAACTCATAAAAATGGAACTGGCCCCAGAGTAACTGCTGGATATTGAAGCATTTCATCTTAATAGAGATTTGCTGCAAATCTGACAAATAAACAAGGCTTTCCCCATGGGTCATTACTGCTTACAAAATTATACACTATATTTGTGGTTTAATGTTCATTTTTAGAGAGTTCCTTTATCTTTCCATTTATCAAGGCAAGCTGACCAAATGCAGCTGTTTTTGGACATTCAAAACAAAAAACTATTTAAAAAAATCTACTGATACAAAAGAAGGCTAAGACTTAAAGTGAAATGCTAAAACTTAATCAAATGATTTTCATAGCAGAAAACAAACATGCTGTCCCTACAGCAATCTGATGCTACTGCAATTCATATAAATGTATCTACTCAATGCAAAAACAAAGGAACCACCTTCTTGCTAAGTTAATATGCTATCTCCTTCTTGACTTCTCTTTAAAATACAATGATTGGCTGCTTTGTTGTGCTTCTCCTTTTATCTCATGTTAGAGGCTAGAAGAAAGTTTCCCTGATTGTTTTTGGGGGGTGCAAAAGTACTGCAGCTGTTGCAAATTACCCATCCAACAATGGAAAAACAAATGAATCCAGCATTATTTACAACCTTTTATATCCCTACTACATGAGGGTGGAATGAGTGAAAAGGCATGTTCATCTAACATGGGAGCATATGCAAGCATAATAAATCTTCTGTTCGCTTGGATCAGGAGAATTTTGTTTTGTTCTTTTTCAGTCTTGGAGGGGGCTGGGATATTTTTGAAAAAGCTGGCTTGTGGGAGCTGGAGCCACTTACAGAACTGGCCCTCTAAGGAACAGCACATATTCTTTTAAAGGGTTCTCAAGAAATTAATAAACAGAGTGGGTCTGGCAGTGCATAACCCTGTTCGACACCAGGCCACAGCTCCTAAAAGGAGCTGTTGGGTCAAAGTGTCCAAATGACTCCTCAACGTGCAACCAGAAGAGTTTTTGGAAAAGCCTTCTGTTTTAGAGACAACTTTGAGAATTCATCCCCTCTCCACTGAACTGGAGGCAGAAGGAAAAAAAAAGAGCTTTGGATTTGATAAAGCAATAAAGAGCAAGCCATATGACAGTATCAGCTGCAGAAAAAGATGGATACCAATGTGGGAGGGTCTCTTCATAAATGTTTAGGCTTGTGCAATGTCTCGGTATGCATGCTGGCAGAGCTTAGACACTGCCGCAATCTGCTCCAGGATCAGAGACTCACTCAGAAGACCACTTATACTGACACTGGACTGTGCATGGTCAACATGTGGCTGTGCCGTGTGGAGAAAGGGTGTTCCAAGCCTTCCCTCCCTAGAAATCTGCAGTTCTTATTAGGAGCAAGCCTGGCCCTGGGCTCCCTTCCCAGTTCCCTGGGTTTGTGAGGAGAGGGGAAGCAGGGCAAAGGCCTGGTAAGGTTTCATGATAGAAGGAGTGTTGTTCACTGCTCTGCAAAAAACCAGAGCAAAGAGGGAACCAGGTTAAATGAACTGCAGGTCACAGCGAGTGGTTTTTGTGGCTGCCTTCTAACTCCCATTGATTCACACATTACACTGGAAATGGCTTTCAGTAATTTTGCTCAGAAAAATGCCCTGCAGGGCTATGTTTAAACAAGGCAGGAAAAGCTTACAGAAGCAGTAAAAGGCCGCCCTTTGGAGACAGAATGAGCCTGCAAGAAGGAAACAAGGTTTCTGCCTGCAAGAAGAAACCAGGTTTCCATCTGATCCCCTTGACACCAGCCAAATACACTCTGCAAGGTCCTTGCAAATTCTATTTTAAGGCTTCTCATTTTGCAATTTAATATCCTTCTGAATGGAAACCAGGTTTTATGATGTATTAGAATTAATGTTACAATTCGGAGGCAGCACAGGCAGGAACAGAGGGCTGGGACTCAAGGTGACCATTCTTACATTTACCTTCATAAACTGGGGCTGGATGTGCTTCAGTCAGAACCACTAATACCATACTCTGTGGGCTGCTGGCTTAGACAGAAAGATGTCATTCCAAAAGCAGGAGCTATGCACATGGGTACGTTACTACTGCTACTTCCATCAAGTATTCCACCACTCAGGCATTTGACTCAAACCTGTGAAAGTGTGTAAATCACCTCTATCGGACAAAGGCATCTTCCACTCAAGACCTAGCTGTCATCCAGGTACAGGGTTTGAGACCTTCTATATCAAGAATGGTCACTGAGAGATGTACATTTTCATCCAGCTTGCCTTACCACAGGGAAGGAATGTTCCAGGATGCACCAGCTACCATCACTGCTGGTACTTCTGAAGATTTCTGGGCCAAGTACCATAAACCAAGCAAAGGTAAGAGAGACCATTACCAGGACAGGTCTAACAGAAGGCCCTGCTGATTTAGGAAAAGGGTAGCACTTCTTGCCCTGGATCAGTTCTGTGCTAGTGTTTCACCATGGTGCTAGGAGGCTTCTGCTGCAGTCTTTTGAAAATATTGCAATTCTCAGGTTTTGATAACTTGTTGACATCACATCTCCTGCCTCAGTTTTCACAGGAACAGGGACATTAATGTCTGCATCCTAACCAGGGTCTAACTTGGCCAGAAATATTCCACCTCCCTAAATGGGCCCTTACTTCCATAAGGTAATTCATGTCCTGCTCTGAAACGTTGTGTTAGTGTTGTGCTTACTCAACTCCTACCATGTTTCACCCTAGAGGTAGCTGCACTTGAGTGGTGGTCATCATGATTCATACATACACATGTAGCTATATCTATATTTTAATATAATAAAAGGCTTAGTCTGTCTGTCTGTAACACTCCGGGCCAACTGCACATGCACAGCCAAGAAGGCAGGTGCCAACTGGCTGGGTGGACCAGGTTACATGGACAAACACACCCTGGCCACCCAAGCATCGGGGCTCCCCCACCCCCACCCCACACACCCTGAGGGCAAAGGTGGAGACCACGGTGGCAGCATGTCTGTCCATCCATCCCCGCCCCCCCGCCACCTGGCCCTACCATGCCCCAGAACAGCCAGCAGGGAGAGGAAGGTGGCAGGCAGGGAAGGAGGGAGGGGCTGGGGCTGGGGGGCAGCCTGGGACCAGGCCGGGCATACCGCACAGCACTGCGCCTTGGGGGAGGCAGCACACAGGTAGGGAGGGGAGCAGGGTAGGGAGGCAGGCAGTCACAAGCCGGCTGGACCCGGAGCAGGATGGGGTGGGGGCAGCAGCGCTGGACCTGAAGCAGCGGGGAAGGAGGGAAGCCGGACCCAGAGCAGCAGGTAAGGGGGTTGGGGGACAGGACTTATGAGGAAAG